TAGTGTGAATGTTACATTAGTTTTCTAGCTGCTTGGAAGGTAATACATTTTGTAAATATTTATTTCATTTGAGGGTTAATGGCGAATAATTTTAATGAAGAGCAAAGAAAATGGATATTAAAGAAATATTGGAAGTATGAAAATGCTGAGACTGTACGTAGGTCATAGCAAGAATGCTTTCATACTCCTCCGCCTTCACGTCTGACAATTTATCGCTTAAGGAAAAAATTTGAACAATAAATGAATTAAAAGATTACATTCATGACGCATTCAGAGAAATTGATGAAGAGCGAAATTTGTGCCGTACTATGTGTCAGAATGTTTTGTACAGGTGTGAAGAATGTTGCAATGTCGGAGCAGGACATTTTGAGCACGAGATTAAACAGTTTCTGTCTACGATATAGCTAGCTGTCTTGAACTTTAAAAGTGCCTAAATGAGAACTACAAACCTAATTTTGGATCTAAACCCTACTTTTAACACCTGTATACCTACTTTTAGGCCACCCTGTATATTAAAGTCATGTGCAGTAACAGGGTGGTGTCTGTCCTCCAATTCATTGATGGGAATCATTTATTGACGAACTTTGTGATAAAAAGAAATTCATGTTTGGGATTTGATTTCCCCAAAATTTTGTTATTATTATAAAACACATTTGTCGGATCCTCTTTGTCAAAAGTGAGAAATCTTGAACAATTATCATACAAACACTCGACCATATTCCCAACTCGTTGTTTTTTGTCGGGAGTTGGGAGTGGGGAGTGAAAGAGGGTGGGGAGAGGAGCAGGAACAGTGCAAGGGGATTGAAATCATCAAAAGCTTCAAGGAAGATTTTTCCAATCGTATGCGCCTTCCAGCTTTTTCCACATACAAAGCAATCGCGAAAGATGCATGTACAGCAGTATTGTTTGTTTACCAAATGGTGCCGGAATTTTGACCTATTAGAAAAGGCAATCTTGACTCAAAAAGACCGTTTTTTTACTTATCATGCTTGCTAGGTGTTGTTTTAGTGGGGCAGATTTCATGATACTGATTGAAAAGGTTTCCATGCACGGAACACACTGAGGAATATAAAAACCATCCCGAATAAGATACACAACATCTAAATAATCTTTCTGATCAAGGTCGCCAAGGTTTTTAAAATGGGAGAGGAGGTTTAAAATCTAAAATTTCTATTCCCGTCTTGAAACTGTCGTCGCCATAACGAGCTCTTTGAAAGAGCCTACTTTTTCAGCCACTTTCCTTCAATCCCTGGCAATTATGTCAATCTAAAATGTCTTCAATTCAATTGTGTTTAACGTAACTTGCGTTTGTTTTTTCTTACGACAAAATAAAAACATTAATAATTTAAACTAAAGTACCACGGCAATTAATCTGTTGGAATGAAAATATGAGATAAACTGCCTGATTACATTTAGCTTTGTCATGTATTTTTGCGATCTTGCGAATTCGTTATCGCCGTTAGAAAAGATCTGATATGAATTCCCATAGAGTACAATTTAATTCAGTACAATAATAATACATACAAAGTATATTAGTTAATCAAAAATTCTCTCGGAAAGACTTCTGAAGCGCCGTCGCCGCGAATACGCTACTTTTTCAACCGGCATGGTTGACCGTATTTCAATTTTATTGACGGTATGGTTTCCAACGCCAACCAAACATAATGTGTGCATTAACATAAATTTTGCTATTCACAATGCCAAGAAGCGTTTTTGATCGTCGCCGGCCTCCTATGACAAAACTTATATTGTTTCCGATTTTTAGCATTTTTTTATTGCCCCTTTGCGATTAAAAAATTTACGTTGTTGATTCAATCCTTCACTTGTCTTTAGCATCTCACCGCCGATGAACGTATATAAAACCCTAACTGGATTTACAATTCTGTATAAAAAAAAATGATTATCATCGCTGTCTTGGCACAAGACATACTTATGTTGGAGGGAATTTGTGATTTAGACGTTAGGGTTAGGTGTTCACGCCACGCTGACGAAAACGATCGGTGATTTTAGTGAAATGCAATTGCATGCGTTATTAGCGATTTTTCGAGTCTTCCAAATACTTTAAAGGGAGGTGGGGTCGAGATTCTGTGCTTTTTTTTGTGACATTCTGTTTCCACGAAATTTAGTTTGCTATTTTTGTGACAAAATTTAATGGAATGGTTAAAATAACAAAGAACTCGATTTATTTAAAGATGTTGGTTTTACACTTCGTTCGAAATATACGGTAGGTCTACCCATCAAAAATACGCTGATATTGATTTCTCGCAACAAAACAAGAACATAGATGTGGTTTTTGTTTGTTCAAAATCTTTTTTCACTATAACGAAATTTACCCCCAATAATGAAGAAATTGAAATGCTGGTATAGACGATGGCAAACTTATACCCAGTGAAATAAGTACGAATCATACAAAAACCATCTTCAACATACATTTTTAATTTGGTTTGGATTAATTAGAGTTTGATAAAATTTGAATCTCTTCTTGGTCATTCCTATTTTTATATAATCTACGTTTTGTTATAATATTGGATAAAATGTTGCCTAATTTTCAATGTATGAAACTGTCATGCTTAAAATATCAAACACTAAACAAATATATGAGCTACTCATATTCTAAAAAAATACTATACTACAAAACTTCAATTTTGTAAAGTCATAAAGTGGAACAATAACACAGAAACAGCAATGTAAGCCAGCAACATTACTACGTCATTTGAATGCTGATGTTGAAAAAACGAAACAGCAGGAAGACAGATTCACTGGATACAATACTAGTTATCATTAAATTTAACCCAATTCGAAATAAGCAATGTAAGCTAGCAACATTATTACGTCATTTGAATGCTGATGTTGACAAAAAATTCAGCGCAATAAACTGTGAAAAAAACAAACTAAGAAACAGCAGGAAGACAGATTCACTGAATACAATACTAGTTATCAATAAATTTAACCCAATTCGAAATAAACAATGTTGCACGTCTTATAAGGAACCTGTTTCGGTTTCAAAAAAATGTGTACAGCAGAAACATATTCCCTCCCGCTGAAGCAACTGTAGCAACGAAATCTACTTCAAATGTTCGAAATCTCTACGAAGTAATATAATGGACTAGTTGTACTCTCTTGTTTTGTTTATTTTTTATTAAATTTAGTAACTTGATGTTTTTGTTTTTGGTAGTTTTTTTCTGATCTAGATGATTTTGGATGTTTTTTTAGGTCAAACTAGATGATTTTATTCAGACAAAAGTGGCAGCCCTGGTCATGTCTCAGCCAACAGATTACAGTTGACTTGGTTTCAGTTATGAAGTGGAGGACGTTGAGCATTGAATCACTTAAGCTGGTGAGTTTATGTAAATGTTTCAAAATGCAGAACGTATTTTAAATAAATGTTCTACAAACAATAGATCACTTGCTGAAATTCAATGAGTTTACGGTGAATATTTTTCTCTGAAAGACAATGCACTATGGAAGGAAGCTGTAACCGGCATTCTACGGAATCCAACAAACTTGTCGAACATAATAATCCCAATCGGGATTCGAACCTACGATCTCATGGAGGGTAATCTGAGGGTAATTGAGGTGCGTATTCCTGAAGCTTAGCGGTATGCGCCACTCGCCGCGCCTGATGTTAGTTAGTGTGCGCTCGCTGTTATGCGTCGAACATCCAAATACCTGTATATCCTTATCCAGAACACAAAATGCATCATAAAAAGTTATGTTTTCCAGGGAAAGAATGATATCAGGCTAATTTTAAAGGTGTTTCGAAAAGGCTTTGATATTCACAGATATACTCGGCAACGATTTCAAACCGCCGAGATGTCGTGAACTTTAGGGTTGTCTCGTACGGTCGTACCTGTATCATGACCGCTCTTTACCAAGCGATCAAGAATATTTATATGGCTTTATTCTAGCCACTTAGCTAATGCATTACTGATCTACTGGGCCAATATTAGCAAACAAGTTTGTCAAAGCAGTCAGAACGGATGTATTGTCTGATTGTATGTAAGAGATTGACTCTAAATCTAGACTTTATCAGTTGTTGTCATCGGTCTGCACTCGTCTTGACAAGTCAATTTTAGATGCTTCACATAGAACCGAGATGAAGGCTGTTGTGGTATTATGCCTCTAACTTTATGGTTTGGCGGATAATTTACTGTAAGCTAGAAATTATGACAATTGCAATTAGTGTGCAGCAAATACCGAGTACCACCAACATTCTGTAAATTAAGTTTTGTGATCACGCGTCAGAAGCGCCATCGGCCTGTGGCGATTCAGGGTTAATCTGGAGTAATCGAAGTAATTAGTTTAAAACATTTGATTACAAATGATTACTTGGTGTTTTCGTCAAATATTTTGCGCGACAAGCCACAAGCGACATCGCTTCAGTCGCAATAGTATGCGGATGAATTTTGTCGTGGGATGATCAATGTATTTTCTTGTATTCAGGTGAGTTAGATGTACTCGATAACTTATGTTTTTACTGATGTTGTATTTTTTCCGTTTTTGATAGTGAAAGAATTGGAATTTGTAACTAAATACATAAAAATAATTCGGATCACAGAAATAAGTTATTGTTTTGTGATTTATAAGTCTTACGGGTTGAAATTGCAAACTCATCACGTGTTTCTGAATTGAATACAAATTCAACTCTACCAACGCTTTGAATAATTTTCCAAATTTGTCTTGTTTTCATTTACTCAACTCTGGTCACCGACATGTTAGTCTTGTGAAAATAGTTCTGCTGCTTCGTCATTGAGTTTTTTGATATTCATCTGTTGTCTCGCGTTGTCTCTGCGGGCGCTGAAGAAGTATGTGTAGCAATATAAAGATAACTAACGTTGTTCGCCTGTTTTATATCAAGTTGTGTAAATGGACGGAAGCCTTTTGGCAGCCGTAAAAGAACTAACCTATGGGCATGGGTATGTTCACTTGGATTACACAGATATTCCCCGAACTCGTAACGAAAGTAAGGAAATCGGAATAATCCTAACCTGGTACACATACTACGGGAGCACCTCCCTGCGTTATATCGTAGCTGATCGCGTCGTTACGCACATAACATACCAGCCCCAAACGCGATTCTTGTATTCATGCGTTCGCACATTGTCTCGCATCACCTGCGCTCACACGATATTCGGGATTCCTGACTTATATTATTTACACAGATTCCCTCCTGTATAGCACTCGCCAACAACAGAAACCAATACCGAAATTATAAGATATATATCAATACCAAAAAAACGCAATGAGAACAATTTAAACATAATATTCGCAGATGTATGTCTCTACGCTATTCATACTAACATGACACGCTTCATACAAATCTAATACATATCTTAATTAATCTTAAGTATAAGACACGCCTTGGATATATAGACTTGCCATGACTTTTCTTTTAATTTCGTTCTATTTTATCGATATTGAATAGATTCAGTACTATCAGGCACAAATTACAGTGTTATTCGAAAGCTTAATATTAACAATTTGCTTTTCCTATACAGAACTATGAAAAATAGAGTTACTAAGAAACGGACGAAATGGAGAAAATATACGATACAGGTAAACCATATTTAGAATTTTAGTTGACATTTTTAGTATTCATTTAATTCCGTATACAATGTAACGATGCTACATATTAGTGACCGGAAATAATTAGTAATATATTACATAAAGCAGTTGTGATTGCGTATTTCCAATATTTTATTATTTGTAAATTGTGTAATTACAAAACCGCAAAAAACTTTACTAGTAAAGTAATATTTTAAAACTGTTTATACTTTTAGACGAAAATAAAGAGAAGATGAAAGAGTTTTTCGTGCAGATAACATAATAAGGTACAATTACAATACACTATCACATTCTTCTAAATAAATAATATATATTCAACTTTTGGGGTCTTGAATCACTTTGCATGTAGTCTACCATTTCGTTTTGAAGTACGAAGACGCCTGTTGTAAAGGGATGTTTTTTTGAAATAGAGAATCGCAGGAGTCCAGTTGTGATTACCTCAAATAGTACAATATTCAGTACTTCCGAAGTATGTATAATTTTATTTCGAACATTCTTAATTTAGTTTGATTACGAGTTCGGGGACAATCTTTGTTTGCCAAATGAATATACCCAGTTTCCATAGATCTCATTCCCCTTACACAACTTTATATAAAAAAAATTGGCGAAAAAAATTAGTTTCTTCCATATTGGTACATACACTTCTGGAGCGCAAAGTTTTCTGCAATGTATTTCCAATGACCATGCCCTGTTAGGAGCGATTCGGTTAATCTAATGAGCGGAGTGAGTTTTCCCCAAAAATTGTAGATCAGGCACAGTACCATATTGGGTACTCTAGATTCTAGAAGTATGTGTACCAAGATCGCGCACACCGGAACGTGGTATGTTTACCAAGTTAGGGTTTGGCCATAATTTCAGGTAGGCCTACAAATACTACGGAAGTCACTTGTCTAGTACCCGAACTCGTAATGGAACTAAAATAAGGTAAATTGGAATGAATGACATTATGACCTAACTCTAACTGGTACACGTACTACGGTCCGGTGTCCGCCGTCTCGTTTCACATACTTCTGGAGCGCGCCATATTATATACCGGTGAGTGAATCCGACAAAGCGTATAAATGTTGCTCTTAATCCCCATAATAATCAGTTGACCATGCCGTTCATTTTCAAATATCTTCCCAAATCGGCGCATGTTCACTAAACGCTGTAAGTACTTCTAGTTGGCGTGTCATAAACATTTTTACATGCTATTTTAACCCTCATATGGCAACCTCTCCTAAAATATACGCCACTATGACGTCACAATCACGTAATAGAGCTTGCCAAAGAAAAGCTACGATCTCCGAAATGGCATCTCCACCAGCGACTATATCGAGATCGTTACGACGAGAGAAATAGCTTGCTCGTTTCGATTGATCATCGCGCGTTCTGGACGACGTTCCGTATAATTTGACGGGCCTTATTTCGTCACTGTGACGTTGTAGTGACGTGATTTTTGGATGACTTAGTCCGGTGGGGTTAGAAATGACATATGCAAAAATAGTTATGCTACGTCAACTAGAAGTACTTGACGGCGTTTGTTGAACTTATTGAATCGGAATAGATTTCAATTAAAGAAGTTTTTATATGTGGGTCCAACCAAGTATATTAATTAATGTGGAATAACAGTGAATAACCATGCCATTTGTGTTCCAAACTAAAAACGATACTATATTCATTAGAGACAATTTCGAGTCTACCAATATAGATGTAAACCCCGTACTGTCTGTATACACCCCCCTTCTCCTCAATATTGTGTTAAAAATAGACTTAAATTCCCACTTTTTCTGCGTCGAACAGTGCGGATACCGATGTTCTTATGTTTATATAAGATGAAATACATTCTTGGTTCTTAAAAGGAATGAAGTTAAAGAATCGTAGCTATGATCGAACTATGCCCAGATAGAAGCAATTCGGTTAAGAAGCCTCCCCAATCTTGTATCCATACCGATATTCTGATTTAAAGTTCCCTATATCAGGGTGAACCAAACTATGGCACGCGGTCCGCAGAACAATTTTAGCGTATACTAAACCATTGGCAGATATTTTTATTTATTGGCAGAATATTTTTTCAGCTATTTCAACTAGGGTTGGGATCCAAAGATTTAAACCCCTTTCCCAATCCCAATGTCGGGAATGATATTAGTTAAATCCCGAAATTTTAAAGTTGTATCTATAAACGTCAAGGCGATTGGAATGTCGTCCTGGTTTCCCTTTTTATATCGGTATTTCCTTCTTCGATGATAGCATAATCTTTATTCTCCGTAGCATTTTTTTATATCGGTATTTTACTTTTTCGATGATAGCATAATCTTTATTCTCCGGAGCATTTTTTTGTGGGAATGAGCGAAACCGTTTTTACCACAAATGCTAGATCACGCGATCACTAGATGAGCGAATCGGACAAAACGTATAATTGTTACCGCAAATCCTCTATAGTCGTACACTTTCTGATACTAGTTAACCATGTCATGCGCGTTCCAAACTGAAATAAAACTAATAGCGATACTATAAATTAGATGCGACACTAAATCCTTATAACCGTAAATCCTTTATCGTTAGCAGGCCACGTAGCCATCCCGTTAATGTATCAGAAAAACTACTAATCCCTAATAGTATGTATATATCTTCCTTGGCCACCCCAGCCCCAGTTCCCCACGGTTGTTAGCAGCCCAATGTGTAATTATCTATATATGATAAAATAAATTACCTATATACTTGGTTCTTGGAAAAGAATGAAAGTTCTTTAAAAACAGGAAGTCAAATAACATCTGTTCTCATCGTTGAATGGCATTGAAAGAATAATACAAAATATCAAGTCAGAAATGTTTATGCCTGAAGGCGTAGACAAAAACATACGGAGACAACCGAAAAAAGTAAATAGGTATGGAAACCCATTATAGGGGCTTACATGTGTGTTCCTATGATTTCCCCCTTCCCTCCCCAGTGAGCGATGTAGCATACTTTGAGAATTGCTGTCAGTCTGTATTTTCTTCTTTCTGCATAGTCCTTTTTTTTCTGCATATCACTTTTTCAATCTGAGCGAAACCCGTTTTACCACAAATGGTAGATGACACAGAGTACCATACTATATAAGTGAATCTGTAGAAGCTTAGGCTCCGGTTGTAAGATATTGTAAAATATCCCCCCATGTTTGCATGTTCGAATCCCATGCATGGATGGTTATGTGCAAGAGGATTGCTGGACTCCTCACCGCCTTAGGGTTGTTACGGATTCCTCCACCATCAAGTCCATGCTTCTGAAACAAATAACTAACTAATCCCAGCATCGTACCCGACATGGGATGGTAACCGAACGAGAGGGCAGTAGTTCGCCATATGGTTAAGCCGTCCTATCGGCTTTCCATTTTCCCGGGATAAATATGTAAAATTCTATCCTATCCTTGTTAGAAGTTATAGTCTCGGCGTTATATTGTATTCATATAGCGTTTTATTCTAGAGATGTATCGGTATCAGATATCGGCAATATAGATATTTATATCGATATGGTCTAATGTAAGACCGATATTTATGATATATCGGATTTTCAATTTGATTCAAGATCATTCAAAAAATAAATTTGAATACTCATGTTGAAATTATTTTTTGCGCGGAGTTATGTTCGTGGTGTTTGTTGCCTTCATAATACTGAGCCATTTTGGTCCTAATCCATGCGTATAGAAATAAGACTGTATTAATGTGTTGGTATCGGCAATATCGGCCAATTTTTGATATTGGTATCTGTATCTGTAGGCTAATATTTCCGATATATTCATCTTTTATTTCTGATACAGCATTGCTTAGAAAATAAGTTAGAATACTGATGCTGAAATTATGTTTTGCACCTGGTATCGTGTACGCGGTATTTGCCTCGTTAACTCTTAGCCATGCTCGATTACACCCCAGCGATAAGAAACTGGAATGAAAATTTGGTCCGTTTTCAGAGCGCTGCTTGGGGAACCACTGTTCAAGCGGACCTTTGCATCGTTATATATTAAATTATATAATGAGTAACTCCTCGGGTCTAATGGGCATGCAAATTTGGGCCAGATTGCTGGTCTAAGGAAGTTGTCTAGATAAGATGAAACAAATCAAATGCATACTTAGTTCTTGCAAATAAGTCAAATAATAGTAGCTATGATTGAATAATGTTCTGGGGGCAATTTAATTAAGATCATCCCCGATCTTGTATCCATACATATTTCTGATCCTGATTCCTCTAGTCTATATCCTAGGTTCTCTATGTTCCCCATACAAAGCCACATGGCTCCACGAGGTATTTGTTTACTTATTAAAATACTGAATATGTTTTAAATACATAGCAGCAAAACATCCGGTCAATTAATCGGTTAGTAACTAGGTGTTTTATTATTTTTTTATTTCTATAAATTTATTATGGGCTCTGTAAATGATAGTCAAAATGTTCACGGGCTCTATAACTCTAAATGTTTGTAAACCCTGTTCTAGATTACAGATACTAACGTGACTATATTTCCCGATTTATACTGTATGTGTATTTCCTTCCTCATTGATAGCATTGTCCTTAAAAATTCTATATATCATTTGTTGGTCATTGTTCAATCTAATCCGTTTTTACCACAGATGGTAGATCACGCCGAGTACCATGCTAGATGAGTGAATCCGACAAAGCGCATCAATGTACCCGTTAGTCTCCCGTAGTCTATAACCACTGGTAATAATCAGTTTACCATGACGTTTATGTTAATAAGTGTTCCAAACTAGAATCCCACGAAATTTCCAGCAACTATATCACATACATGAGAGGATCAGCCCAAGTGTGTTTGTACTGCATCACCGTAAATATCCCATCCCCTGACGTCATTCGTGTTTCGAACTAAAATAATATTTAATTCATGATAATGTTACTGTATAAATCATATAGCATGTTAACCAAGATGGATGGTACCGGAGCGTAGTATGTGTACCAGGTTAGGGTTGGGCCATAATTTCAGGTACAAATACTACGGAAGTCACCTGTATAGTCCCCAAACTCATAATAGAACTGAAATAAGGAAAATTAGAATAAAATGATGTCCTAACCCTAACCTGGTACACGTACTACGTTCAGGTGCCCGCAGTTATGCTACTATATGTACCGATATAACCATAAACCCCATGTAGTCTGTATATGTCCCTCTTCCCACCTTGTTTGCAGTCATAGTAACCGTCCCATTAATATGCTTAAGCGTTAAATTCTAGAGATGTATTGATATCCCCCTCCCACCTTATTAGCGGTCTTAGTAACCGTCTCATTAATATTCATAAGCGTTGAATTCTAGAGAGATGTATCGGTATCGGTAAGATTTTGGATATCGGCAATTAGATATTTATATCTGTATGGTCTATTAAATGTAATACCGATATTTCTGATATATTGTGGTTCTTAAACTGTTCTGAGTTCATGTTCGTGGTGTTTGTTGCCTAATTAATACTGGGCCATTTTTGTCCCAGCCCATGAGTGTAGAAACAAGACTCTGACTAAAGATGTACCAATGTGTTGAAATCGGCCAATTTCGGTATTGGTATCTGTATCTGTTTCGGCTGTATCTGTAGGCTGATATTTCTGATTAGGTTAGAATACTGATGTTGAAATTATTTTTTGCACGAGGTATCGTGATCGCGATATTTGCCTCGTTAACTCTGAGCCATGCTCGATTACACCCCCGCGAAATGAAACTGAATGAAATTATGACCATTTTTTATATATTTATCTGCCAAACTAGCTCGAATAAATTAGATATTTTTGCTGCTAAAATTTTATATTGCGTTTTTATTCGTATATATATATATTTATATTGAAATAATAAAAAACATAAGCTATGATTGGAAGGCTGTATATTAATCCAGAAATGTTTGAAGCTTATGCAAAAAATAGACCACCTAGAAAAGTAAATACGCAATACCCAAATACCCAATAAGGCGACCCCAAAAATCGATTCGTAATATAAGCTCTGAAAATCGTTTTATTAGCCTGAAAATCCGGTTGGATGCAACTAGCTTACACTACATGTCTGTTTTTCAGAACACTGCCTGACAGAACACTGCTTGTTTCGACAGTTTTTCATTGCATTAATAGATAAAGATCAAAGATACAAACGAGACCAAGGAAAAATCAACAAGTAAATTTTATTCAAACATTTCATTTGACTTTTCGATATCCATTGACGCATTGCTGACGACAGTAATTATTCATATATTCCAGAGTTGTAAAAAAACTTATTGACAGTTCATTGGTATATTGTACTTTTTTTCAACTTGTGTAATTTGAAACTGACATCTCATGGCTAATATTGGAATTTATAGAATTGAATGACTACATCTACCTGATTACTAAAGTTATTTTAAATGTTTGTTTCTGTGTGTCTCCCCAGTGGGCGAGATAGTACACTTTGATAATTCTGACACAAAGTTCCGATACTATGATATCTGTATTTCCTTCTTCATTGATAACATAATCTTTATTATTCTTAGTAGCATTTTTTTGTTTTGTTTAATCCAGCAGTTCTTAACCTAGGGCAAATATTCCCTGGGGGTAAATTTTGTCATTCTCAGGGGTAAATTTCGTTATTATGAAAAAAAGATGCTTCGCATCTATTTACAAGTTTTGTTGCGAGCAACATTGTGTTATTGATAGCATGACTTGCGATAAATATGTATTTTTAGCCTATTATTGGATATGATGTGTATTAGCCTGTTATTGTATCACAATATCTTCAAAACTTATTCCCTAAAGGGGCAAATGATGCAAAAAAAGGTTAAGAACCACTGGTTTAATATAATGAGCAAACAGCGTGTACCTATGTTATGTTATATTATAGAAATAGTCGTATTTAGTTTGGGTAGGCCATTAGTTTGGTAATACTTGTAATTTGTGCAATTTGAAGTCTGAGACTGACCTCCTCTGATAACTAATGTTTAAAGTGTTCGAACACTTGCGGAATAAAGTGAAATATAAAACCCTAGTAAATAATTTATTAGCCAGAATCAACGTTTTAATTTTTTGAAAAATATGCGACGTATTTGTAAATGAACTAAACAAATATCAGTGATAGTTAAATTTATTTGTTTACTGTAAGCTTATTGAAGCTTTTTTCGTTTGTAAAGATCCAAATGTGTAATGACTTTCATCGAAATTTTTCAATATAAATCTAATTGGGTATAATTAAGCGATAAAAATTAGTTACCTCCGTATTGGTACACATAATTCTTGAGCGCTAAAAATTAGTATATCATATTTAACTGAAGAAAGGTTGTGAATATTTTAAGATGTAGGTTAAACACACACATGCATATATTATTTCAAAAAGTGGTGTGATGCAGTGCAACCGATGTCGGACCGCACAGTTGTGATCTCCGAGAAAATTTGCTAATTATTTGTCAGCCAGCGTAACCACTTAGTGGCCAAAAAAACTAATTTCATTTTGTTTTAGTTGTCTCGACGCGGATATTTTTCACTGGTAACAAGTGTTGCTGTAAAACGCTTTTGCAGTTAGTAGCGTTAGTGGTATGTTGTTTATTTGATGTTGGTTGTATCTATAAGTGGAGTTTATTTTGCATTTTAAAATTATAAAAACGTCCGTGATTTGTTATGTGGGTCGTGCTTGGACAGAATTTTTTTTTCTTCTTGATGCGTCACTGCTCATTTATGCCATAGTGAAAACGTGCAATGTGTACGTTCGGAAACACATATTACTGAAAGCAGATCTATCTAAAATGCATTAAACTAAGAATAAATGGCGTACTCGCCTGTCAGATCGTCACTTCGACGACGTACTACGTGGTAACCAAGTTGTCATTTGAATTCAACGCTTTGGTCATGGCAGAGAAACATCATCTCAACATTGATAAATTAATAAAAACAGTGTTTTGTTTGATAACATATTAATAATAAACGAATAGAAGTTGCGATTGTGCCATGATTTGAAGTTTGTTGTATCAATTGTCGCAGGTGGAAATTATTTCGTCCCACACGTGGTAAATGTACATATTGGCCCGTGAGTAGATGAAGTTTGACGATCACTGTTTTAATTATTCGCCATTGTTGAATCTCAAAAAAGTGCCATACTTTACTTCAGATCTTTGAATTGGGTTTCTCGAATATTACTCCATATTCTTCCTCTATTCTTGTATGCTAGTGGATCCGTATGCGTGTCCTGCTGCACATTAACACAAATGTATTTCTGTAACGTTTCGTCCGAACAAAGGCAGACTTCCTCAGACAATCATCTCTTGAATTGGATCTCATAATTTACTGTTTCTATTTATATATGCAAGTAAAACTATAATCAGTTCAACTTAAAAGGTTACAGATATATCTAATATTTTAACATAAAAATATGTAGGTTAAGTGATAAGTTGATAATTGTTTTTAGATGTCAATTATTTTGTGGAGAATAAATATAAAATAAAGAGTAATTTGAATCTCATTTTTGAAGTTTTTACTTGTGAAAATTAACTTGAAAGTGTAAATAAGAACTTTAAAAAATTTTAAACATGTAAAATGGTATATTTTACACACTTAAGCAGCGTATAATTAAAATCAAAATATTTTTGAAGTTATTAAACTAGTTTTTTTTACAAATATTCCAAGTCTGTATTGTCATTCTATTCTAAACGATTTAAAGGAAATTAAAAAATCCATAATTTTTTTACATAAGATTTTTAAAATTTTGAAGCAGCGCATAACAAAAACTCGATGAAATAACTACCGTTTTCGCAAAAAGTCTATATTGGTATTATATGCTAAAAATGATTTCAAGTGTTAATACTTTATATACAAAGTCGTCAATTTATCCATGCCAAAAACTAGTTCAGGCTTATCATGATGTTACGAGCAAGATCTCAAGAGATTATTTTAAAATTAAATACAAGATACCCGTTCAAATTTTTAATAAAATAAATAGAGGGTATTTTATTACATCTAGGAGCAGCGTTCAAAGTAACTAGAAAAATTTGAGTTAAGACGAAAAATTGTGAAATCTAGATTTTTCAAACATGCCCCATCGCTGCATTGTCATTATGTGTTAAAAACGATTTAAAATGTTAATTTTGTTATAAATTATTAGCAAAATAGTTATTCCAAAATTTTGATATATATAGATAAATAACTGGTAACTGGTGGTATTCAATGAATAATCGAAAATTTGAAAACAATTGGGAACTTCATCTCTTTTGCAAATGTTCCCAGTCTTCATTATCATTGTATGCTGTGAAAGATTTTGTGTGTTCGTACATAAATTCTAGTTATCTCATGATTTTATTAGACTTCAGGAAAAAATATCTTAAAATTTCATTTTAAAATTGAATAAATTTTTAGAAAATTAAACAATTTATTCCCATTTTTATTCAGCGTACAATCAAAACCTAAAAAAAGCCAGGAAGTTGCAAAATCTATCTTTGTCGCAAGTTTTATAAAAGATTACAAAAACATTATCTGATATTTTAACATAAAATTATGAGGAGATAACTGTTTTTAGACCGATATCACAAGACACAAATTATTTTAAAATTTGTTATATACTTCAATAATAGAGACATAAAAATAAGAAATAAGAAGCTCATTTTTACAATATTACGTAATGAAGTTTACCTCAAAATGTAAATATCGAATTTTCTGAAAAGTTTTTTAGTACAAGCTATGCATTTTTATGTTCATGAAGTTTAAATGTTATGTGAATGCCATTTTTTAAAATTTGAAACATCGTTTCAAGTCTGCAGTGAAATTCTATGTTGAAAACAATTTTAAATGTAGTTTCGATAGTTCACGCTGTTACAAGTAATTATAAAATCATTATCCTAAGAAATTTATCCTAAAACTTAACAAAATAATTTTTCAAAATTTTCAAAAATTATATAAAGGTAATTTTTCCACATTTTGAAGCAGCGTACAATAGAAACTCGCAAACTATTCCAATAAGTTTCTTCCTAGCTTTATTGCAAATGTTCCATGTCTTCATTGGCGTTTTATGTTAATCAAATGGTAATACTTTCTAGAATTGTCAACAAATCAATGCATGAATATTAAATTAGGTGTTTCACGCTGATATGATCAATTAGCAAAATTTATATCCTAAAATTGTAATATGAAATAAGATTTGTAGATTTGAAAAAGCGGTTAATGCATATTCGAAGATTTAAAAAAAGTTGGGACCTCAGCTCTTTCTCAAATGTTCCCAGTGTTCATATAATATATTAAATATATATAATAAAAATAATTGAGACTGTTAGAAGTATTCTCTTCTATATTCTATAATTCTATAATTTACATCGAGTAAATAATATAAATAAAAGTTTTTTTTAATTATTGAAGCATCCTAAATTGGAAAATTTGAAAATATATTTATCGAAATTTCAAAGCACCTACGAAAAAAATTGAGATTGGATAATTTGAGAATATCTGACAAGTTGTTTAACATAGCTTTTTTCGCAAATAATTTATGTGTGTATTGGCACTCCGTGTTCAAAACGATTTCGAATGTTAATACTGTATAAAGTTATCAACGAAATAATACAAGAAAACGCAATTTTGGTAAAATTTTAGATAACAAACTATGTGGGAGATAAATGTTTTTTTTAACTGATATCACAAAACCGTAAATTATTTTGAAAACCTGTATAACTTTGAAGAAAGAAAGAGGATGAAAGATTATCTTTCAAAAATAAACTCAAAAAGGTTACCTCAGAAATTTGAAAATAATTTGTTCAAAAAAACAATGCCCTCTATTACAGTTAAAAATTGCAGAATTTTATATATTTTACATTTATCGAACAGAAAATATTTGTTCATATTTGTATAAAAAATTAATTGAAAGATAATTTAATTTAATTTTAGAATCAGCGTTCAATGAATAATTCAAACAATTAGGGAATAGCTCACATACATGAAACAGCTAGTACCATGCTGCCAATCATACTTAGTTTAAAATATGGGGGATTTATTTTTAATAGCCTTTTTCGTTTGACGCTTCTATAATTAGGGAGCTTTGTTGGTACCTTTTTTGGCGAAGTATGGAATTGAAACGATACGTTAGGCGCAATTCGGTTTTCGAATATTTTGATCAGACCTAATGCGAGGCTATGATATTAATGGCGAGAATATTTGTGAGCATATCACTGAAAGGAAATATTTTGCACCCCGGCTGTTAGGTTGCAGAATAACGACTCGCTAAATTTAATTGATCGATTACAGGGAAAGTATTTACTTATCATCTCATTGGCGAACATCGAGGTTTTGACGGAATTGTACGATCATGTTGTCTTTCTTGAATAATAACTTTTTTAATGAATGTTTATTTTACTTTTGTATATTAAATAGGATATGATGGGTATTCAATTATTTCAAATTCGAAATTGTCCGGACTCCGGAATACTCAAACAGGTGTGCTTAGCAGGTGTCCTTTCGTTACCGATAAATTCTCTAAGGGTTTAAACGAAACTAGGATAACAAACAGGCCCCTCTTTAATTTGCAATATTTCCTGAATAAGCGCTATTGCCTGTATCTATGCTGTTTGAAATGAGTTAAAATAAAAGTTAAGGCGCCTAACTTGTTAAAATCGGTCAAAGCACTTATGCACTCTTCTTTCAATTGTTAAGCACTTTCGCACTTATAATTCCCCTAGGTGAACACTGATTATCAGAATGAATGCGGAATAAAAATGAGTTTAAATGGGTTCGAATTCCATAAATACCGATTGTGTCATCGTATAAAATCTCATGTAATAAGTCAATTGTTAGGGCTGGGCATTTTCGAATACCTGATTTAGAATCGAATCGAATGATTTTTTCGAATTACTTGGGAGATATATAATTGTATGCAACTTTTTTATTGTAATTGGTCCTGACAACAAATGGATTACTGAAAACATGAAATACACTCAGAGAGATTGTTGAGCGTTCACACATGATATAAATCTTATCAATATTAGACTACAGAAAAATAGTCATAGATCCGAATTGCTTTAAAAAAATGTGGTTTAAATAAAAAAAAAAGTAAAGAAAAGGGAAGCAATACGAAATTTTGCTTTAACCCAGGGGTGGCCAACCTTTCACATACCATGCGCCACGTTTTAAACATAATGTTTGAGATGCGCCGTAAATCTCTTGTATTCCCACGCCTAATGTCCGCTTCTTGTTGAAATTATATAAATTTATAATACACACACATATATACACACGTATATGTACTTTTTACAATTTACAACTTCACATGAATAGAAATTAAGCAAGGAAGTATAATAAATAAAACTGATCAATTTTATTTAAGTACCGCCTTTATGAGACTTTTGCTGCTGTTTTACTTTCGCCAGTTTTTTTATTCTTGGAGTTAAGTTTGTTACTGAGAGGAGCAGTGCATTCTTCAAATTTAAATCTGTAAGTCTTGACCTCGCTTTGCTTTTAATTAGTTTCATGGCAGAAAATGTTTGTTCACATCTATATGTCGTTCCGGAACGACATATAAAACCCTGGGCAAATTTTCTCAGTTCTTTAGTATCAATATCTACTCTACTCTACCCTCGATTCTAATTGGCCTTTGCTAATCAGCTGTTTGGCCTAGCGTCGCGTGATTTTACTCCAGGCTTCTTCGAGATTAGTACTTGCGTCACAGCAAGCGATTTTACGCTTCGCTTTTGTTGACAACGGTCATTTGAAATTTGGATGAAAAAGGTGGTATTTAGGGGTCATTTTCAGCATGTTGTGGGTTGATTTATAATAACTTTTTTAGGCTTGGGCAATTCAACTGGTTGTTCAATGGTTATTGGGAGATATTTGGGAAGTCTGGGCAATGGAAAATCCATGTTTCAAGATGATAAATGACGATTTTCTATTTTTCCAAAAGTTCTGAACTTTTACTTCAGTAGGTAAAAAATAGTAAATTTTACTAATTTTTGCTAAAAGTCTAGAATGAAGGTCATAAAGTCCGTCCAAAAGCTAACGTCGATAATTGCCTGTTGCTTCTAATTCCAACAAGCCGTAAGTGGGCGACGTGGAGTAAGGAGAATAGATTTTAGGTACAATCAAAAGTCACCATGTAAATCGCAAAAAAACGGCTTGGCGTGGAGAAGCCAAGTGCAATTAACAATTTTGGCATGAAAAGGGTTAAAGATGCAATGCGCCACCTCTAATCATGCATTGCGCCACGTTTGGCGCATGCGCCATAAGTTGGCCACCCCTGCTCTAACCTAATAATTTACTATTAGATACGAAATGCCCAGCCCTACCCATTGCGCAGTTTTACGGCAAAAAATTAAGACACAGATGCGATCAAACTACATCAATTGAAAAGTTGAAGCTATTTTTTGCTTATTATTGGTTATTTATGATACTACTACAATTCCTCAGAGAATGCCATACCTTCGGCGTCATAATTCTTTGTATATATATTTGTTCAGGTTTCCTCACTTATGGAAATGGAATCTTGACGACATTCTCTGTTCAAAGGAGGGAAAATAAAAGTTATAAATACAACTGAAGTATTCAAATATAAATGTGAGTTTTATCAAAGATAACTAAGATTGGCTCACCAACAAAATGACATGAACCACACTTATGTGAACAAAGACTTTAAATATAAAGAGAGACTGTTTTACTCAACTCGGTGACATACGTACATTGATCCTGTATGCATGCAAACGGATTATATTCAAAAGATTTAACATGGGTCGACCCATCAAGAATTAACTGTTTATGTTATTTTAATAATTGCAAACAGATTCTTGATTTCAAACCAAAGCAATTGTGTTTATTACTTTACAATACAAATCCTATATTTGATGTCATAGCAAGATAAATATGAAATATATTTTCATTGAAATATATTGCATTAATTTTCTTTCAATCATTCTAGTTTTAAACATTTATATCTGTAACAGTGTAATACTTTGGTGTAAAGGCAACGGCGATCGACATTTTTGTCATATCTAAATTATATTAGTCGCTGTCCTGACGAATTGTGATGCAAAATATGTTATGTATATATATTATTTTAATATATATATATCACCTGAAATAAATTGAAGATTCTAACAAATTTTTTTTTACCAGTTTGTGGCAAAAACCTGATAGTCTATGTATGGTTGTCAATGCCGCCATAACACAAATCTTTTTATTACTTCATATCTTCTTACCAACACTGCCTATTCAACGTGAGAAATCTTGTGACTAACCAGGCCGGCATGGTTTTGTCTCATCTTCAACGTCAACTTCTTCAAAAAACATATACAAATTACACTTACATATACAGGGGTTGGGAGGGGGGTTGGGGGTTCTGGGAAGTGGTGGTGGGCCCTGGGAGGGAGGGGAAAACACAGCATTGCAATCATAATTAGGCGATTTTGGTTTTGTCAATTCTGATATAAAATATTCATAGAATCCGGTAATAGGATAGTCAGAGGTCCTTTCATTTTTATTTTCAAATCATTAGCATTGAACGTGAAATTACAGTCGAAAGTCGTTGCCTCCTTTTTTTAAATCAAATATTTGAGTGACAAGTAATTCTATTAAGTGTCCCAATATACAAATATGCAGGGTGTCTGACAGCCCATGTGTGATGGCAGTTCTAGCCTACTTCAGATATTGCCTAAATATATATATTTGTTTTGATTTTTGTGAACAAACTTCTGAAGACAATCATATTACTACAGTTATGCACACTGTTATATATTTATTATTGATATATTATATTTACGAATGAATGGTTTTATCTATCGTGCTGTATCTTTATTTCGCTATCAGTTTTATCATAATCATTTTTTCTATGCAATTTCTTTGAGATATTTTCAACAGGAACTAAAGATATCGTTTCCGAGACCGACAAGGGAAAGACGAATTTAACAGGGCATGCCATGGCTTTTTTTTATTTGTGTTTTGTTATAAAGGAATTTTTTGAACTCATTCCTGCTATTGGCGGAGTTTCAGTTTAAAAACTAGGACAAGTTAGCAATAATGTTATTATTAGCTTTTCAGACGCAGAACTATAGAGATTGGAGATGATTTTCCAGAGGCAGAATTATAAAGATTGTGGATATGGAGATACTTTTTGAAAAACAGAAGTATAATGATGAAGATATGTTGACAATTATCAAAGGCAGAAATTTAGGATGAAGATACGGAGACAAATTTAAGAAGCAGAATTATGAAGATTCAAGTTACGAAGACACTTTTCAGAAGGAGAGCTTAGCACGAAGACACCGTGGAGATGCAGGAGTGAAGGTTGTAAATTAGGCCTAGTTAATTTTAATGTTATATTAGCTTTTCAGTGGCAGAAACTTGAAGATTCAATATGAGGAGAAGATTTTCAGAGACAGAACTATTGAGATTGAAGATATTGAGAGAAGATACTTGTCGAAGGCAGAAGATAAAAGATGAAGTTACGAAGACTACTTTTAGAAGCAGAATTATGAAGATATAAGTTACGAAGACACTTTTCCGAAGAAGAACTGAACACGAAGACACCGTGGAGATGCAGAAATGAAGGTTGTAAATTAGGCCTAGTTAATTTTAATGTTATATTAGCTTTTCAGTGGCAGATATATAAAGATTCAATATGCGGGGAAGCTTTTCAGAGACCGAACTATAGAGATTGAAGATATGAAGATACTTTTCAAGTGCAGAATTGAACAATGAAAATATGTAGACACTTATTGACGGCAGAAGATTAAAGATGAAGATACGAAAACTACTTTTAGGAGCAGAAAAGCAGAATTTTGAAGATTAAAGTTACGAAGACGCTTTTCAGAAGAAGAACCGAACACGAAGACACCTTGGAGATGCAGAAAAGCAAGTTGTAAGTTGGGCTTAGTTAATTATAAAATTATATTAGCTTTTCAGTGGCAGAAATATAAAGATTCAAGATGCGGAGAAGATTTTCAGAGACAGAACTATAGAGATTGAAAATATGAAGACACTTTTCAAGAGCAGAATTAAAAAATGAAAATATGAAGACACTTATCAAAGGCGGAAGATTAAAGATGAAGATACGAAGACTACTTTTAGAAGCAGAATTATGAAGATACAAGTTACGAAGACACTTTTCAGAAAGAGAGCTGAACACTAAGACACCGTGGAGATGCCGAAATGAAGGTTGTAAATTAGGCCTAGTTAATTTTAATGTTATATTAGCTTTTCAGTGGCAGAAAATTAAAGATTCAATATGCGGAGAAGATTTTCAGAGACGGAACTATAGAGATTGAAGATATGAAGATACTTTTTAAGAGAAGAACTATAAAGTGAAAATATGAAGACACTTATCGAAGGCAGAAGATTAAAGATGAAGATACGAAGACTACTTTTAGAAGCAGAATTATGAAGATACAAGTTACGAAGACACTTTTCCGAAGAAGAACTGAACACGAAGACACCGTGGAGATGCAGAAATGAAGATTGTAAATTAGGCCTAGTTAATTTTAATGTTATATTAGCTTTTCAGTGGCAGATATATAAAGATTCAATATGCGGGGAAGCTTTTCAGAGACCGAACTATAGAGATTGAAGATATGAAGATACTTTTCAAGTGCAGAATTGAACAATGAAAATATGTAGACACTTATTGACGGCAGAAGATTAAAGATGAAGATACGAAAACTACTTTTAGGAGCAGAAAAGCAGAATTTTGAAGATTAAAGTTACGAAGACGCTTTTCAGAAGAAGAACCGAACACGAAGACACCTTGGAGATGCAGAAAAGCAAGTTGTAAGTTGGGCTTAGTTAATTATAAAATTATATTAGCTTTTCAGTGGCAGAAATATAAAGATTCAAGATGCGGAGAAGATTTTCAGAGACAGAACTATAGAGATTGAAAATATGAAGACACTTTTCAAGAGCAGAATTAAAAAATGAAAATATGAAGACACTTATCAAAGGCGGAAGATTAAAGATGAAGATACGAAGACTACTTTTAGAAGCAGAATTATGAAGATACAAGTTACGAAGACACTTTTCAGAAAGAGAGCTGAACACTAAGACACCGTGGAGATGCCGAAATGAAGGTTGTAAATTAGGCCTAGTTAATTTTAATGTTATATTAGCTTTTCAGTGGCAGAAAATTAAAGATTCAATATGCGGAGAAGATTTTCAGAGACGGAACTATAGAGATTGAAGATATGAAGATACTTTTTAAGAGAAGAACTATAAATTGAAAATATGAAGACACTTATCGAAGGCAGAAGATTAAAGATGAAGATACGAAGACTACTTTTAGAAGCAGAATAATGAAGATTCAAGTTACGAAGGAGCTTTTCAGAAGGAGAACTGAACACGAAATCACCGTGGAGATGCAGAAATGAAGGTTGTAAATTAGACTTAGTTAATTTTAAAGTTAGCTTTTCAGTGGCAGAAATATGAAGATTCAAGATGTGGAGAAGATTTTCAGAGAAAGAACTATTAAAATTGAAGATATGAAGATACTTTTCCAAGACAAGAACCAGACAATGAAAATATGAAGACACTTATCGAAGGCAGAAGATTAAAGATGAAGATACGAAGACTACTTTTAGGAGCAGAATTATGAAGATTCAATTTCGAGGACGCTTTTCAGAAGGAGAACTGAACACGAAGACACCTTGGAGATGCAGAAATGAAGGTTGTAAATTAGGCCTAGTTAATTTTAAATTATATTAGCTTTTCAGTGGCAGAAATATAAAGATTCAAGAAGCGGAGAAGATTTTCAGAGACAGAACTATAGAGATTGAAGATATGAAGACACTTTTCAAGAGCAGAACTAAAAAATAAAAATATGAAGACACTTATCGAAGGCAGAAGATTAAAGTTGAAGATACGAAGACTACTCTTAGAAGAAGAATTATGAAGATACAAGTTACGAAGACACTTTTCAGAAGGAGAGCTGAACACGAAGATACCGTGGAGATGCAGAAATGAAGGTTGTAAATTAGGCCTAGTTAAATTTAATGTAATATTAGCTTTTCAGTGGCAGAAATTTAAAGATTCAATATGCGGAGAAGATTTTCAGAGACAGAACTATAGAGATTGAAGATATGAAGACAGTTTTCAAGAAAAGAACTATGAAATGAAAATATGCAGACACTTATCAAAGACAGAAGATTAAAGATGAAAATACGAAGACTAATTTTAGAAGCAGAATTATGAAGATACAAGTTACAAAGACTCTTTTCAGATGGAGAACTGAACACGAAGACACCGTGGAGAAGCAGAAATGAAGGTTGTAAATTAGGCCTAGTTAATATTAAAGTTATATTAGCTTTTGAGTGGCAGAAATATAAAGATTCAAGATGCGGAGAAGATTTTCAGAGAAAAAACTATTGAAATTGAAGATATGAAGACACTTATCGAAGGCAGAAGATTAAAGATGAAGATGCGAAGACTACTTTTTGAAGCAGAATTATGAAGATACGAAGACGCTTTTTAGAAGGAGAACTGAACACGAAGACACCGTGGAGATGCAGAAATGAAGGTTTCAAATTAGGCCTAGTTAATTTCAATGTTATATTAGCTTTTCAGTGGCAGAAATATAATGATTCAAGATGCGGAGAAGATTTTCAGAGACGGAACTATAGAGATTGAAGATATGAAGATACTTTTCAAGAGAAGAACTATAAAATGAAAATATGAAGACACTTATCTAAGGCAGAAGATTAAAGATGAAGATACGAATACTACTTTTAGAAGCAGAATTATGAAGATTCAAGTTACGAAGACGCTTTTCAGAAGGAGAGCTGAACACGAAGACACCTTGGAGATGCAGAAAAGCAAGTTGTAAGTTGGGCTTAGTTAATTATAAAATTATATTAGCTTACCAGTGGCAGAAATATAAAGATTCAAGATGCGGAGAAGATTTTCAGAGACAGAACTATAGAGATTGAAAATATGAAGACACTTTTCAAGAGCAGAATTAAAAAATGAAAATATGAAGACACTTATCAAAGGCGGAAGATTAAAGATGAAGATACGAAGACTACTTTTAGAAGCAGAATTATGAAGATACAAGTTACGAAGACACTTTTCAGAAAGAGAGCTGAACACTAAGACACCGTGGAGATGCCGAAATGAAGGTTGTAAATTAGGCCTAGTTAATTTTAATGTTATATTAGCTTTTCAGTGGCAGAAAATTAAAGATTCAATATGCGGAGAAGATTTTCAGAGACGGAACTATAGAGATTGAAGATATGAAGATACTTTTTAAGAGAAGAACTATAAAGTGAAAATATGAAGACACTTATCGAAGGCAGAAGATTA